CGTTAAAAAAAGTTAATAAAATGAGACAAAGTCAAAAATCCAGTAATTAAATACACAAAAAGGTAAACGAAACGGATTTCAGCGCGTTTTCTCCAAACTGTCCTAAATTTTAAGGAACCCTGAAGCTAAGATAGGAGGCATTTAATGATATTGTGGTTTTCACCAACCTTATAAGTGTCACCTAACAATACAAATAGGTCGTAAATAGGCCTGCTTCTCATGTCTCATGCATGAGGGTGCGGGTTCAAATTACCTTTTTCGAAAAATCCCAGTAGTATCACGGAGTCTGGAAATGTGCCCGGTATATGGCAATAGGCTCACCCCCTATTATATTGTACTCCTAACAAAAATAGTGAAAAGTGGGTGTTATGTTGTACCGTGGCTTTAAGTGCCGTGAAGTGCACCTCTGCCTATCCCTTCGGGGATAAAAGGCGTGATTTTATGTTATTTAAAATACCCAATTTCATTTATCACGCCTAACCATCACCCTCTATCCATTACAGGCACAGCAGAGACGCTAACAGAGTCCCGTATAACATGCGCTCTAGAACATAAAGACGCATACTTATATTATATCGTGAAGAGGCACCCTGGCAGGACTATCGTGTTTTGTAACTCTATTGGAAGTGTTAAGAGGTGAGTCTATGTTCTATTTCCTACCTAGGACATACCAAAGGTGGTGGGAGTAATGACGTTTTTCTTTTGTTCTCTATAGTATAACTGTGTGGAAAGTGGATGAGTTTGTGCTCTATTTTCTTAGTAATATGATTGATTTTGGTATGGCAAAGATGGTGTGAGTTATGACTTTTTTCTTTGCTTATCTCTCTATAACTCTAGTGTTAATAGGTGAGATTTGATCTCTATTTTCGTAGTTTTAAGGTTGAACATAAAGTAATTCTGTATTATTTTAATTTTCATGTATTCGTGTTACAGATTAGCCCAACTATTTACTCTGCTCAAGTGTCGCCCTCTACCGCTACACGCCAGCATGCCGCAAAGACAGAGAATTAAGAATTTGGAGAGGTGAGGTTTGATACAAAGACAACTATTAACTTAATATTGTACTATTTCCAGTTAGACCAACTTTGATTTTGGGCCCAGTATTCCTCAATTTTACATACATACATAACTTCACGCCTGTCTCCCACGCGGGTAGGCAGAGACTATGGAACGCCAATTACTACGATTCCTAAATACCTCTTTCGCTTCATCAACAGTCATCAATCTTTACATGCATGCTCGTCGGTTATTAGGTACTTTTAATTTGGCCCTTCTTTAATATATTCCTTAATTTTTTCTTTGCATATGTAGATAAAGTGGTTAAAATAAAATTAAATCATGTTTCATAAGTAATGTAATATAAAACATGTTTCTAATATTTTCAAATATTAATAAATAATGTTTTTATTGTCATACTTATAGGCTATGGAACATTCATATTAGAAATAAATACAAAACATTAAACGCCTTTTAATGAGACAATTTCATAGAAGTAAACAAAATATAAAAGTGACATATGTTTAAACAAAATTCAAACCAAAAATAAAACTTCCTTAACAAACAGCCAGTGCTCGCATTACTACCAAATAGTTATATTATCTAACAATACTTACAATATTTGTATTGTAACTTTCGTGAGACATACTAAATAAATTATTATGTTTTCGGCTTACTCACGTAATGATTTGACGAGGAACTCGACTAGTTTCAAGCCATGCTAGAGGCTCATATAGTCATATTCATGAGCAGCATTTCGCGACCCGCGACGCGGCAATTGTCGCGCAGCTGCTGAACTAGTCGAGTTCCTCGTCAAATTATTACGTGAGTAAGCCGAAAACATAATAATTTAATACTTACAATGTTCGATCACGGAGACACATTACTAATTTTAAAGTCACCATATAAAAAAACATATCATTACTTAACACACTACACAAAACCAATTTCCTCCCAGATTCCGCGACGACCCTCACGAAGTACTAATAGCAACAGACGTAGCAGCGAGAGGTCTGGACATACCTCACGTGGAACACGTCATACATTACCAGGTGCCTCGCACGGCTGAGAACTATGTACATCGCAGTGGCAGGACCGCCAGAGCCAGTCGAGAGGGACTTACTATACTCATGATGGATCCCTCCGAAGCTTATTTGTACGCAAAAATGTGCAGGACTTTGAATAAAAGTAAGTTCATAAACTTAATTTTCTATTTACGACTGACGGAACTTTGGATTTCCAAAATAAATAATAGGAACACAAAATATGAAATTGTGCTAAGTAAATGATAATAGTCATATAATTATTACAAAGGAGTTAAATTTAACTGATGAAAACCGTTTTCAGAAAAATTTATAATTACTAATTTCCTATT